CCACCCCCAGGCAGCGATAACCCATTGCCACCAACCATCACCATCACCCAGCGACAGCCCATTATGTAATTGCAAATGTATACATACCATTAAAGCATTTAATGTTTTTAAATAATGTGTTTCATGTATTTTCAAATTATTAAAAAATGTTTAAATGTATTTCACTGGTTATTGTTTACATTTCCAAATACATGTTACTATAGTATTGCAACTTTTTTTTTTATGGACTGGGCCCCCGAAATTGCTTTGCCCCAGGCCCCCTGAATCCTTTGGGCGGCCCTGCTGACAGGGGCAGTCTACCCGGAGTACTGCTACCCCAGCTGCAGCAGGCACCAACTAATAGACTTCGCACTATAATAAACTAATTAATAAAATTAATAAAATAATTAAAATGTAGACAATGCGTTGTCCCCCTGTGAGGTAATTCACTAACGTTACCTCCATTTTATAGATGGGGAGTCAGAAAAGTTAAGAGACTTGCCCACGGTCACCCAGGAATTTAGTGGCAGAACCAGGAGTAGAACCCTGGAGCCCTATTCTCCTGCTGCAGGAGACAAGTCGCTGTTAGTATGCCGCATGGGAGAGGTGTGTAATTGAGGGTGGTGGAAGGTAAAGTCCCATGTCTCCTGACTGCTATTGTCCTTGCAAAGAGCTTCCTCCCACCCTTCCTAGCAAGTTGTTGAGATGTCAGTTTTTGTCATCTCATGACTATCCCTCTCCACGTCGGCCCCACCGACTGAGTCCATAAAGTCAGGGGCGAGAGATGTTCCCATCCTTAGCTTGTTCAATGCTGCTTTGACACCACACATCAGGGCATCTTGCTGGACAGTGTAGTACCAACAGCCCCTTTCTCCTCATCTAAGTTTCCTTCCCTTGAAGCTGCCTCTCGTAACATACTCCTGCATAAAATATTTTCACTGGTCTGACAGTTGGACCACATATTTGTTAGGTGGTGAACTGTTTTTCCCACACACCTCACCAAGTCATTACATGGCAGTGACCATAAACTAGATGCTAGCTTTGCATTAAGCAAGAGGGCCATGGGATGGGTACCCACACAGGGGAGTCAGATCAGTATTATCTCCATTTGAGAGACAGAAATAAAGATACAGAGATTAAGTGATCTGATTGGATGCACTGTAGTCTGGTAGTGCAGACCTGGACATAGCTGCTAGGAGCCATAGTTTCTGGTCTTGCCTCTAACACTGACTTCTTGGGAGACTAGGGGCAATTCTCTGAGCTGCTGGAAGGCAGAGCCCTATTCACTTCAATGTGGATCTATTTACATTCAGTAATTTGCAGGCTCAGCATCCCAAGTCCCCATGCGAGGAAGCCAGGTACATTTGCAGCTTCTTGAACAAGTGTAACTTAGTTTTTTAATTTATAAAACTGTTTAGGAACAAGTATTTTTAAAAAAACTGATTTACTTCAGCCTTAGTCCTAACCATTGTTAAATCAGATTTGGTTTCAGCAGAATGGGAGCTTTCTCGCTCTCTCTAATGCATTATTTAAGATGGTCTAGTAGACACTGCACAGAACTTTCAATTTCTAAACAAGTGCAAAGCCAATTTCATTTCTATTAAAGCAAGATGCTTTGCACCTGGAAAGCAGTTCCATCCCACAGCTCTAAAGCCTCCTTATAGATAGAAGTGGGAGCAAACACTCCCACCCTGTACTGAGACATCACTTGCCAGTGTTGGTAAGAAATATAGACATTAGATCATAGGCAACTTAATCAAGTTGCAAGGATGATAACTAGCTTCACTTCCCAGGGAAAAGCCTAAAATAAAGAATGTAGAAACTATCCTCAGAGCTTTTTTGCTTACGGAATGCTTACATAAGGTTACTTATCAAATTGATAGACAATTATCAAAGCAGAATTCAAGTTAACAGACACCATACACAGTATATGCAGCAGGATTTTCAAAAGCCAGTTGCTTAAAGTTAATTTCTTACCACAGCTATTAAGAAATAAAGTAAAAACTG